ATAGAATTTTCTATTTCTCTTAAGAAATAAAGAAGATCCATACCCAGAGTTTTAAGGCAACTTGCTAGAAAGAAAGAGGCAAATTTCTAGATCAGCAAATCTGAACATAAAAATCAAAATATCTTTATTATTTAATTCTTTTTATTTGAATGTTGTTTTGGGATACTTTTGTGTGGTGCAACTTTCCTATAATAATTGGTATAAAAAAAATCCTATGATAAAAGTATATATTTTGTCTTTGGTGGAACCTTTAATAACTTTATGGGAATAAAAAAGGAACCCAAAAAGTACCCTTGTGGGGTAACTTTTCTCGTGAGCCATCTCCTCTGTGGACATACCATGGATTCCATGCCATTTTAGCTCGAATGCTTTTCTTTATGTTCCTATTCTCAACTTCCCACTACAATTTTCATTATTTATTATAATACATTTTAACTCCCATTTCTCTATTTTCGCTCCATAGTTCTACCGCCATGGCTGCAACTGCTACATCCTCTCTGTTTTCCATTGCAATCAACCCAAACCACGTTCTTAAGCCAAAACGTTTCATCCTTCAACCCAATCTTCCTTTTTTCAAATCTCTCAAATGCATCCCTTCCAAACCCAACACCTCTCTTTCCTGCTCCGCCGTCGCTTTTCCCGAAATCGCCGAGCTCGTTGTTCCTTCCAAGCTCCGCCATCTCGCGGATGAGTTTCAGGCGTTACCTGAGCCAATGGACCGGATGAAGCGACTGTTACACTACGGAGGGCTCATAACACCTATGGAAGAGACATCTCGGGTTGATATGAACCGGGTTATGGGTTGCACTGCGAGGGTTTGGGTTGAGGTGAAGATCGACGGTGAAGGGAATGTGAGATTAAGGGCTGATAGTGACTCGGAGATCACGAAAGGTTTTTGTGCGTGTTTGGTTTGGGTTCTTGATGGGTCTGAACCGGAAGCGGTTTTGAAAGTTTCAACTGACGATTTGGTGGCTCTTAATGTTGGTTTACCGGGAACCGGTCGTTCTAGGGTGAACACGTGGCATAACGTTCTTGTTAGTATGCAGAAAAAGACAAAACAGTTGGTTGCTGAGAGAGAAGGGAAAGTACCGTTTGAACCTTTTCCTTCGTTGATTATTACTGCTGATGGTTTTGTCCCTAAGGGTACTTATGCTGAAGCCCAGGTTAGCACTGTCTTTTCATTTGTTTGGGATTGGGCTCTTTTAATTACTCTAAAGTGATTTATTAGATCACTGTGTTACACCTATTTATGATTTTGTGTACTCAGAATTTTTGGCCCTTTATGGAGTAGGGTTTCTATAAAAGACTCTTTATATTCACTATTTTTTTTATAAACCATTGCCTGCCCTATTTAGGTCCGCTCTAAAAAAAATGGGATGGAGCGTTTAGGGTGCAAGTTTAAAATTTTGTTCTGGGTTATAATAAAAGAGGGTGGAACGGGCTCGAGGGTATTATTCCTTTTAAGTTTTGTAAAAATTTATGTTAATAGACAGTAAGGTTTTCCTTCAAGATATTTAATAGTGCTGCTTGCATAGTTTGAACCTAGAATCTCTTGTTGAAAAAGACTCTTACCATCTCTTCCAATTGTGGGTTTCTTACCATCTTCACTATTTTATGACCCCATTTAATAAATTAAATTAATATTATTATATTGAGACTTGAGTTATTGGTAGGACCTATTTAGTAGTCTTTTTTAATTTAGTAATTATTTTTGAAATGTTGGGTCGGAGGAATTTGATGCCTATTAAGTTAGTGTTGACATTAAAAATTACTATAAAATGAGTAATATGTGTATTTGCCAATCCATTTAGACACTCCAGTGGATGAGACGTGTATGTTTGTCTGTGGGTGTCATTATATATAGAATCTCTTGATAAGTCAAAAAAGTGAAATAATAGTGGTGTCCTTTTCTATTACATCAAGAATTTGATGCTTGTTTTAGCAATACTTTTCTGTGTTTAAACATCTTTAGACTTTGTCCTGTTATGTTAGAGATACGTCAGTTTTCTGTTTTTATCCTGATTGTAGATGCTTATTTGTAAATGGATATGCTTTGAACATTATCTATAGTGCTTTTACTTCACAAACTTTGTATTGAAAGTTCTACATTATCTAAAGCCAAAGCATATTTGGTGGTGTTTTTTGTTGAGAAGTCTCACATATTGCATGAGTGGTCCACACTTTTATTTCGGTATTGTAGGATTGAGTAAGATCAAATTCAAAAAAATTATGATAGTATAGAGTCTATCCAAAATTTGTTGGGTCATCCATCATTGGCTGCTCGGGTCATGCTGAAGATGTCCAGATTTGAAGGAGTGTGTTGAGAATAAGAAATTTTTTATTGGATGAGATATAGTCTGAAAAATGTCTTTATAGGTTGTGGAGAATAATCTAACTTATAAGTCGATTTTGTATAGTTGAATTTGGTCAACAAAAGTTTTAAGATAGTTTAAGGAGTTCATTTTCCCATACTTACAAACAATAGACAAAGATCCCCTACTGATCAAGGATGATCAAGAAATGGATAGTGTTAAGTTGCAAATAATAGTAACACATTCTACCGTTCACAAAAATTGGGATCTTAAGTAGTTCTTTAGGAATTCCATTTTTCGGTCTTTATCTTGGGCGGACATTAATTTAGAAAAATACACGTGTTTCATAATTGCTTTATCTATGCAAGTAGCTTTTCTACTCTCAAAAGAAAAGTTACGTCGCATCATCATGCAGGGATCATGGACATGCCAACAAATGACATACTTTCATTAAATCTTGACCTGAAAACATTAAACTTGTAATTTATGTCTAGCTTTCCTGCAGGCAAAATACCTGTTCCCTAACAAGTTAAAAGTTGATGAACTAGTTAATGTGCTGAAGGATAAGAAAATTGGTGTAGTTGCACATTTTTACATGGATCCTGAAGTCCAAGGCATTTTAACTGCTGCTCAGAAGCAGTGGCCTCATATCCATATATCTGATTCACTGGTCATGGCAGATTCTGCAGTCAAAATGGCAAAAGCTGGATGCAAATTCATAACAGTGCTAGGTGTGGACTTTATGTCAGAAAATGTTCGTGCCATCCTTGATCAAGCCGGTTTCAATGAGGTATGTCTTTCACCTGTTTGTTGATTGAAATTGGTCTTAAACTAATATATGCTGCAGTATTTAGATTAGTAATTCAGTATCAGTGCTACTTGTTAACCCTTACTCCTTAATTTTCTTCTGATTGATTATTCGTAGGTCGATGTTTATAGAATGTCAAATGAGCGTATTGGTTGTTCACTGGCTGATGCTGCAGCTACCTCTACTTATATGGAGTATCTTGAACCAGCTTCTAGGTCTACTTCTTTGCATGTTATATACATTAACACTAAGTTAGAAACAAAAGCATATGCTCATGAGCTTGTGCCAACAATAACCTGTACTTCATCAAATGTTATCCAGACTATTCTGCAGGTCAGTCTTATGCAAACTTTTGCGTATTCCTCTTTGCCATTGTATTGGTTGTATGAGTGTCGCGTAATGACCACAACAATGCTAGTTTAGCGTTTCTTTTTTTAAAACTAATATGTTTATCTCTTATGCAGGCATTTGCCCAAGTGCCAGATTTGAGCATATATTATGGGCCTGATTCTTACATGGGTGCAAATATTGTAGAATTGTTCCAACAGATGACAGTAATGACCAATGAAGAGATTGCTGCAATACATCCTGAGCACAATGTAGACTCTATTAAATCATTACTACCACGACTTTACTTTTATCAGGTAAGGTCTTTAGGATGTTTTAAAAATTCAAGGAAGGAGTCACTTTATTTGCAATCAGATGTGCTTCATTAATATGGGTTTTTCCGCATTCACCATTTTCAGAAGCTGCTTGGCGTGAACCCATTTTTTTCCTATTATTTATTTCTACATGAAAATGATTTTATTCCGTATTTCAAGAATTAACTTCGCAATATTGTACATGTCATGGTTATATGCTCTTGCCTTTTGGTGCCAGGATGGATCATGCATTGTTCATCATCTATTTGGCCATGAAGTTGTGGGTACTATAAAAGAAATGTATTGTGATGCATTCCTTACTGCCCATCTTGAGGTGCCTGGAGAGATGTTTTCATTGGCAATGGAAGCAAAAAGAAGAGGAATGGGAGTAGTAGGGTCCACCCAGAATATATTGGATTTCATAAAAGACAGGGTTCAAGAATCTTTGGATAGAAACATCGATGACCATCTTCAATTTGTTTTAGGAACTGAATCTGGGATGGTGACTGCAATTGTGGCAGCAGTTCGAAGTCTGTTAGAGCCTGCAAAATCCTCTTCTCATGGAGCAAAAGTTACCGTTGAAATAGTGTTTCCAGTTTCATCAGACTCGATCTCGAAAACAACTTCTAGTCTAAATTCAGTTGAAGTCAGTGATATCATACCTCCTGTTGTACCAGGAGTAACTAGCGGGGAGGGTTGTTCAATTCACGGTGGTTGCGCATCTTGTCCTTACATGAAGGTAGGATCTGTGTTTTGTACACCATAGGTTTTTGATAAGATGTGTTGAACTCTTCAACTCTATACTTTTTCTCATCAAGATTGGTTTATATTTACACTAGTTGTTATCTGATTGTTTTTTTAACCTTTCAGATGAATTCTCTTAGCTCACTCCTGACAGTTTGCCATCACCTACCCGACGAAGAAAATAGGTTGTCTGCATACAAAGCAGAGAGATTCAAGTTGCAGACTCCAAATGGTCAATCAGTGGCAGACGTAGGATGTGAACCAATTTTGCATATGAGGAACTTTCAGGTTAGTTTCGTGGTGTACATTTTTGTATACTGTTGAAATGAACTGAAAACCATGCACTTTAAATTAACCTTTTTGGTACTTGCACAGGCTACTAAAAAGCTTCCAGAGAAGCTGATTGATCAGATTCTTCACACCAAAAACAGTGGAAGGTTGGTGTGATAAACTATGCTGGTTGATCAGATTCTTCATCCCAGAGAAGCTGGTTGATCAGATTGTTAATGCTATATATACTACTCTATTGTGAGCAATTCCACGTTGCAACAAAAGCTGGGTTTGTAAGAGGTGTTTTCTTATTGCATGGTAGTAGTTACCACATCCAGATTTTGTTGTATGGTAGATTTTCTTAGCGTACGAAACTTCTAATATTGATGAACTGAGGACATTATACATAAGAAACGCTCGCTCCCGGGCTAATTGTTTTTGTTGTATAAATATTTGCATCAATTTTATATGTTCCAGCATTTCAATTAATATTATCATATAATTATTATGAAAAAAATCTATTACATAATTATTTTGAAAAATATTTATTACACATGTTAGTTAACGTCTAATTATTGTGAAGGGTTTGGGTATTACAGTATTTGAAAAATATATTACATTATATTGAAATATATAATTAAAATAAAAGTGTAATTGAATATTTTGCATCAAATAATTAATTGGTTGCTTAAGGATATTGTACTCAATAAAACTTTTATTGATTATAAATAAAATATATTTTTCCAATAATTTTTAAATAAATATAAAAAAGAATAAATTTGTTGATATTTTATGTCTAGTCTAAACTTAATTTCAATATTTGATATAAATACTTAAAAGTTATATTTATTTTCAAAACTGATTTTCACTATATTTCTTTACAAAAATATATAATATATAAATATATTATATGTATAAGGAATTTTAATATTTATGTATTATTAAAGAATTTTCCTTATTGAATAAGTATGAATAAATATATATATATATATATATATATATATATATATATATATATATATATATATATATATATATATATATATATATATATATATATATATATATATATATATATATATATATATATATATATATATATATATATATATATATATATATATATATATATATATATATATATATATATATATATATATATATATATATATATATATATATATATATATATATATATATATATATATATATATATATATATATATATATATATGAGAAATTATTTATGTATTTATCTATTTTTAATAAATATGGCGTAATTTACAAAGAGAGAAATTTCAATTTCTCAAACTCTATCTATGAATCACACATACGTAAGGTGTTTAAAAGTGTTTCTCAATCCTTTTAAATATCTCCGATAGTTTCTCTTAATCCCCGTCTCTCTAAATTTTCCCTTACTAGGATTGCCACCTCTTTCCTCTGTCTTTATTTGTAAAGTTTTGAAGGTTGTAAATAAAAAGAATGATATAAATAAATATTTATAACATGTGAAACATAAGAGATCCATAACAAGTTCAAAACTCAATCTATTAAAGAACAAATCCATAAGTCAAAAATACAATGAAGTTTGCAAATAAAGATAGTATACTCTATCCCTCCTGAGAATATTAGTTGAAGTCTATGGAATATCATAGTACAAATTCTCTAGATTTGATGGTCCTACTTGCTATTGAATTTATTATCGTTGAAATCCTTTTTTTTTGTTGCTTTGGAGCCTTTATGCACCAAGAACCCTCTTTTGTCTTCAAATTGAATTGATATAGCCCGTGTCTCCCTATTTTGACTGAATTATCAAATGATTCTTTCAATTCTAGATCGAATCTAACCCGCATCAGAATCTTTGAAATCAGGCCACCATATGATAACCAAGCACTTCCCTTCCTTCGATATTCAGTCGTGTAGTAGATTACCCCACTTGTCCAATTGATTTTGACATTGTTGGCCAGTAGTCATGTCACTATCACATCAATCTTCGAGACATGTCCAAGGTTGATTGTTTTGGGATGATAATACGGGTCGCCAATATGGGATGAGACGAATACTTGGAGCCACATATTCAATGGTAAGGTAAAATTAGTGACTCACAATTGGATCAATCAAAAGAGATTGAGAAAAAGAAAGTGTTCCGTTTGGGAACCAGAAATGGATACAGTTGGAAAACTGATGATCTTGAACGGTGACTCTGATCTTCTTTATGGTTGCGCAAGGTGGACCAACATGATTAACACTTCAATGTCCAAGTCAGGTCAAGATTCAAGATGAGTGAAGTGAAAAGTAGATATCAGAGATGTACCTTGTTCTTAGTGTGTGAACTGATTTTATACTTTGGACATTTGGCCTGTCCAAAACTATTACCCCTAAGGCTTTTCTGAGCATTGGAAGAGTCGAGGTAAACCTTAAATAATACAGGCCAACCTCTAAAACAGGGTCCGATGTGATGTGGAACCAAAACACTTTGGAATAAGTTGAAAACTAATGGAGGACATAAGCATAAAATGCTTTTTTGTCTTAGGAATGTTTCGATACCTTCTCCAAGCACGTCAACCTAATGTCGTATGCTAGGGAATGATTTTAGTATCTAAGACACTTGAGTACTTCTGTCACTTTAATTTTTGTATAGTAGAGCGGCGTGACAATTGCCCTTGGATTGATATTTTATCATTAATCTAGACCATTAATATTTAATTTTTTTCAATAAAAATTGGGGTTTTTCCCCTGGCCTTCATTTTACTCTTCTTCTTACTCCTTGGTAGTTACTTCTCTCATTCACTGAACGTCATCTTTTCAGTTCCACCTTCAAGTTTCCATCACGATCTCTCTTTCTCTTTATCCAGGTGTGTTGTTGCACCTTTCTTTCAGTGAATGAAGCTTCTTTCTATTTTTAATCATTTTAGAGGGTCAATCCTTTATTGCTGACCAGTCGCCACTAACCCACCAAATTTGTTCGTAAGCAAAGGTGAGATACAATCAATATGACAATGATAATCGCAAGAGACTATTCTTTAGTAGACCCAAAGTATTTGGGGATTTCCTCAAATTAAAGCTAGAGGGACGAGGGGATAGATGTTCCCTTTGAAGTGGGGTATCATTCATATTGGAAAGTTTTCACGATCTCTGCAGATAAGAGAGTGTGCCATAAATTTGAAGGGTGTTCTATCCCTTTTTACAATTGCATTTTTGATAAATTAGGAGTACGATTCCCACTCACTGCTTTTGAAAATGGGGTGTTGGATCATCTTTGCATTCCATTATCATAGCTTCATCCCTATGCATATGGCTTTGTGAAGGTTTTTTAATACTAGTATGAATATCAGTGTGTCATATCTCAAATTTGTCTGCCTTTTATTTCTACGGTCAAAAATATTTTCAACATTGGTTTTATAATATTCTTTGATCTTTATAAATATTCGCCTCCAAACCTATTTAAAAATATAATGATTCATTTCAGATCATTTGTATTTTTGAATAAATGAATATTTGCTTGACCTTCGTATGCTTTCAAATGTATTTTTATTTCGAATAAACAAGGTAGCACAATTGGTAAAGAATGAAGCTCATAAGTATGAGGTACTAATTTTCTTTCCTTTTTTAGAGATCAGACTCTGGACTTTTCATTCATTTTGGGCTAACTTTCTCTCCAAATTTTTTTAACCTAATTTAACTCTATAAATAGGACTATTGTTGTCCTAGTTTTGGAGGAACAATTTCATCAACAAATCAAGAATTTCACAATTGCACTACACATCCACAAATAAAAAATCCACGAACACCCCAATTTTACAAACACATTGTCACACAATTTCCAATATTTTTCTTCACACGATTTTCTTTTCAAAACAGCTTTTCAAAACTATTTACAATTTTATCATTTTTAGCCAATAATTAACCTATGAGGCCCCTCCTAATTTATTTTGTTGTTTTATTAAATCAAATAATGAATATCTAATAGTTTTGTTTTTTAATTTTTTACTTTTTACATTGATCCACAATATCCATATTTTTATAAATTACTCTGCAAATTGTTGTTCTTCATGAACAACAATAATTCTAACCTTTTTTCCACAAGAGAATCTTTTCACACAAATTGATTTTTACGGTACACTTGTAGAAACACATACATAGTCTAAAGTCCTATTTATTTATTTTATTTTTCTGCAGTGTTTTTTCCACATAATTTTTGCAGTCACACTAATTTTTCCACATAATTTTTGCAGTCACACTAATTTTTCCAACATTTGTTTGTCAATCAAAGCACAATCACAAGTTTCCATCACATATTCAATCATTCTCTAAAAACCAAATTCACCAACAACCTCTGACCGCCACGTTCATCTCACTTCAAACATTAACAAACCCAAAACCAATTTCTATTAACAAAACCAACTCATATCACAAGATCAATTTCCAAACTACAAAATCTCATCTTTGTTTCTCATCAATCATCCGAGATTTGTTGTGTTGTTGTCTTTATTTGCAGGAAAAAGAAGAAGTACTGAGAAACAGAACCGATACATCGGATTCGCAAACCACACCTAGACTGCCTCCTTCCGACGCTTGAAGCCCATCAGAGGATTCCGCCCCAGCCACTCACAGTCGTGATTCCGCCGATACAAACATACGACTCCGACGCCGGCCCACGACACACATCCGACAGTTCCATCCGCGACCCCCTCCAGCAGAACATCGTCATCGTCAAAACCGCGCCGGAGATAGCTCGACGCACCCTCGTCTTCTACGATCATCGTCTAGCACACACGACTGGCGACGCCTCGAGCCACCTCCCGTCGTCGACCTTCACGTGATCGCGTCCACCCCCTACAACCGCGACCATTGCCCCTTTTCGGTTGAATCTTGCCATCCGCCGCCGCTTATCCAAAGACCGTCGTCGTGTGTTTTTGTTTTTATTTGCTTGTCGATATTGTGGATTTATGTGAGCATATATTGCTATATGGTGGTATTTGTTTGGTTTTGGAGTGTGAAAGAAAAAGGTTGATTTTACAGTAGAGAGAAAGACGTACAAGAAAGGAGAAGGAAGAGATATAATGTTTCTCTTCTGATTGCTAACTATGTTACTTTAATTTATTTTTATTATCTTAAAATCATGGATACGTGTCTCTTTTCTATTGAATGACGATTGAATGGAAGGGTCAACACAAATTGGAAAGGGGCTGCACGATCAGGTTCACATTTTGACTCACTGTATTTTTTTATTTTTTATTATTTAGTTAAAAATTAGGATTTGGTTTTCATTTGGGCTTTGGGCCCTTTAAATCTATCTTTTTATTAAATATATTCACCTCATTCTAACTTCACACCTCTAGCTTTGGAATATTTATTTTATTTTATACTATATGATCTTGTCTTATCTATCTATTAATTAAACAATTCTATAGGTTATTGTTAGGATTTATTTTAAGTCTAGTTTAATTTTTCGTAAAAAATCCAAAAAATATGTAATTAGGTTAATTACCAAATTGTGCGTAGCTCTCATGATTTCCCTAATTAATTTAATATCTTACAAGGATATTAAAAATCATACAATTTACTTATGAACAACACGTGGTTAATATCTGGCCACGTGATAAGGAAGGCTTTATTAGACTCCCTTCGTATTCTTTATGACGAGCGACATGTGACCAATATCTGGTCACGTGATGAGGAGACTATATCAGACTCCTCTTGCTCCACGTCTTAATATAGATAACCAACAACATCAAATTATTTTCTACTAACATAATCAAAATCAAGATATTTTTTAAAAAGGATTAAGGAGAATTACTTTCAAAATTAACTGCGAACTGCGTCTACGATCACTCTTTAACAAAACCCAAACAAGGTTCAAGGATAAATTCGAAAGCATTTCTATGCAATCCTATAAAAAACACCAATCAACTACGAACTATGAATTGGGACTCTAACTAAAATCGTGGCGAGTTCCTCTAATAAAAATTAAAACCATATTCCCTAAGCCATAATTCTAAACCCTAGTATCTTTGTAAACAAGATAGATGAGAGATGTCTAACATCTTCCTTTCGTCTAAGAACAAGTCAAACAACTTAGAATCTCTGACCAAATTAGGGTTATCTGTTATATTCCCTTCCCTAGGATAAAAATTAATGGTGTCGACTATGAATTTTCAAACCAGTTACAACACGCGAGAACATGGATTTGACTTCCCTAAATATCTTCTTTCATATCTTTGAAGTTAACCTCCTTCTAAGACTCAAGGTTGTGGGCTTATTTCTCATCTTCGATTGAGAAATGAGGTCTTCAATGTTTATATTGACAATTGGAAAAGTTTCAAGGAGCATAATTTCCTGGTTTCCCCCATTTTCCTCTTGCTCATAATGAGTTATGCATTATTTCTTCACCTTCTTTGGTCTCAATAGTTTGTTCTGAATGGAGGAGGAAATTTCGATCGTCAAATCACTTCTCTCACAAAGTTAAAGATTATTTCATCCCGTATGAAGCTCTCATTGATGCGGAAAATTATATGCAAGAAAAATTGCTTTATTTTTATGACTTAGAAATTCATTGCCATGACATCGTTGAGGCAAAGTCTGCGGATGAGAGGAAGAAAATTTTTGGTATAGGTCATTCCCTTCTTTTACTTGTAAAATGCACCCTCGCATATTCTCTTACTGGTTAATTACCTTCTTTTTTCAGACGACCTCAAAAAGAAGGACCCATTGATTGGTTGTATTGCTTCTGCACTACATTTTAGGGCTCCTTTAGTTACGTCGATGTCTTCAAAGAGTCGGAGTATGAAGAACCATGAGCGTTCTGCTAATAAGGATTGCGATAAAGCAGATATCTAGGGAAGTCATGCAAAAAAGAAAAAGTGGAAACAATTTGATCTTGCTCCGTGTATCCTTTTGACGGATATTTTAACCCCCCTTGCTCTCTATGATGGTTGGTTGTTTTCCTCATACCACATCAGAGATCAAGAAGTGTGAGTCGGTTCATGATTATGAGAAGATTCGTCAGCTCCCTCCTGTTAGAAAATCCAACTTGCCGGCAGAATCGACTTATCAAGTCCTCCGAATTATTTCCATTGTGAATTAGCTCGCAGCCGATTAAAAAGATCTTTTATTTCCCCGTTCCTCTTCTCGAGAGGACGAGGATTAGAAGGCTCACTACTAAGAGAAGGATTGGTGTATCATATAGAAGGAACTTGAATTAGAAGTTTTGTCTCCCGTGATCAAGATCCTCATATCAAAATTTGAGGAGAAGAAACCCAATCGAACTAAAGATCTAGGGACCCTCCAAGAAGAACATATCACCTTGAGTAACCAACCGCAAAATATTTTTAATGATGACCTGAAAGACGTTGTCTTTTACAATGTTTTATGCCTGTTAAAGTCCGTAGTGTCGGGCCTCATGGATTTCCATGATTCCTTCTCTTTAACATAAATATAATCCTTATGTAGTATGTGATTTTAATACATATCAAATGACACTTGTTTTGTCATTTGTTTTGTTGTAATTGGCCTTCTATATTTATACGTTGTATTTATCATGTTTGGATGTTGCTTCACCCAATGGCGAGGCTCATATTCATCGAGATGTGGTCACACCTTTGAAATGAGCTTCACATTACAAAGGACCATTTCTCGGTCAAGGGTAGAATCCTATCGCTATCCTGAGGTATGACTCAAATCAAGGTGGACATCTCTGGGCTCCGCCACCTAACTCTATTGGATTGGCTAGATCCTAAGGGGTGCGCTAGCTACACATCGATGTGTGGAAAGTGTTTTAAGCTGTATCAGATACACAATATTATGTATAGTCTATATCGAATACACAAAAATGTGTGAAGTGCATTTTAAGCCATATCAGGTACGCAAGAATGCATTTAGTCTCTATTGGATACATAGGAACATAAGTAATTTTTTTCTTTATGCAAGATGAGAGACAAAAAACATTTGCACCAAGGGGAATGATAATAGGAAAACATTTGCATTCATACCAAACTCAATTAGTTACATATAGATGGAATTAAAACAAATCATTAACTATAATATCATTTTAACTTAACGGTGTTCTATGTCCTCGGTATTTTCTCTCCTTTGAATGACTCTAAGAAATATGCCCTTCTTTTGGTGCTAGCTTGCACGCGGTAAGGGCCTTCCTGATTATCTACTAGTTTTCCATCCCGGGAATTATTCTTTTTGATGTCTCCCCTCCGAAGCACTAAATCCATGATGTGAAGTTATCGGGGTCAGACGCGATGGTTGTACGCTGAAGTTATGATTTTTTTAATGATGACGTTGGTGAAGGTGGCTAATATTCTCTTTTCTTTCTAAAGGACGATTTCTTCTCTGGTAGATTTTATATTGCTTTATGCTGGCAACAAATTTTCCACCCTCTAGCTCAGCTCTTCGATTTCTACTAGAATAACAACTTTTATCCCATACGTTAAACAAAAAGGGGTTTATCATGTGGTAGACTGCAGTGTAGTATGATAAGCCTACAATACACGTGGTAGTTCATCAGACTAATTGGCTTTAGATTCTTCTAGAATTCACTTCTAGCCTCTGAATATCACGTGATTGTCGGCTTTGGCCTAGCCATTGTTTGTGGATGCTTTACTGATGTGAAATGTTGTTTGATTTTTAACTCTCCCATAAGGTTTTTTAGTCCTTTGTCAATGAATTGTGTCCCAGTTTCTGTGATGACAATGTATGGTACCCTGAACCTGGCCAATCTATTCCTCTTAAATAATTTTACAATGTTTGTTATGGTGATATTAGCCAATGCCTCAACGTTAATCCATTTAGTGAAATAGTCTACAAAAATGATAAAATACCCGAGTTACTCTGGTGCCGGAGCGAAGGGGCCGAGGATATCCCTTAATCTCTGCAGGAACAACCAAGGCGATGATAATATGTATAGTTTAGTGATCAGGGCGTTGAAAATATCGTTGCGCCTTTGACACTGATCTCATTTTTCATGTACTCTTGGCCCTCTCGAACCATGGTCAACCAGTAGTACACCGCTTATAGAAATTTTTTAGCCAATTCCCTTTCCCCCAAGTGTTATCTGGTGATTCCTTCTTTCACTTTCAAGAGGGTGTAACTAGCCTATTATTTTCCCAAGCCCCTTAACATTGACGTGGAAAATCCTTCTTGTATAAAATTCCTCGGACCATGATGTACCCCTTGACATTCCTTTAACCAGTACTACTTTAGATGTATCTGTCAGAAGGATTATGGACTCGATATACTACTGGATCAAGGTCATCGAGGAGGGCGAATCCATATTACTCACAACTGCTACTGATTTTCCATTCGTTTTGATGGTGGATTTTTTTTCTGATTTCCTGAATGAAATAATGATTAATTCTAAGGCATCTAGTGATGGCTAATCGAGAAGGATAGTATCTTGGATGTTTTCCTCTCGAGGCACATTATTAATCTCGAACTCCTTGAATTTTGCTAGCTTTAGCGTATCCAGTTTCAGGTACTTCTATGCCCATGTACCTCAAGAGACGACTGCTGATCAATTTGAGAATTATGTTGTAAGCCTAACTGTTGATAATAGTTTAGGTTTTCTGATGCAGATTTAACTCCGGTGAGAAATAATCATAACAAGGCTCTACACATCTCTATTGAATAAAAGGGCACCACTTTGGCGCATGTGTTAGTAGATACAGGGTCCTCCCTCAATGTTTTACCTAAAGGTGCTTTGGATGGATAGGACTGTGATAGGCTGGTGCTGAAACCCAACGATATTGTGGTA